CTTAGTGACTCCCATGAAAATTAATCACACCCTATTGTAAGTCCCCAGCCTATGTTATAATTTTAAAAAATCACTGAAATTAACACATTATATCATCATTATTTGTTTAGATCTCTGTCTTCAAATGTCAAGGCTGTGAGCTTCTTAAGGCCCATAACTTATTCATCTTTTTATCCATAATGCTTAAAAGAAGGTGTGCTATTTGGCAGGTACTAAATCCATATGTTAAATTACAAAAAAGAATGAATTAATAAATGGCACCACCAATTATCCAATTTTCTAGGCTAGAAACTCTTCTCTGATATTAAGTTGTCACAGTCACAGTTCCCACTGTTATATTTGTACTAATGATTTACTCCTCTTCTTCTCTACTGTAAATGCATACATTTTCTTCCATGTAATAGTGCCACCTTCATGTCCTTGTATGATACCCCACAGTCTTCAGCAAAAAGTCTCAACATCTTATCATGCCATACAAGGTTTGTCTGCCCTGTGTCCATCTGCCTCTAAGCATCAATTCCTACCATTCCCACAAACACAGCCTATAGTCCACTCACATGGAACTACTTGGGCCTCCAAAATGACCATTAACCTCTCTTTGGTGCTTTTATACATATTCCTTCCCTTCTTAGAAACACCTTCTTCTTTGCCTGGAAGGATTCAATGACCATAAAAAAAAAAAAACTTAGCTCAACTGCTTACCTTCCCTGGACAGGCTCAGCTCGTCGTCACCCTCTGGACTGGGTTAGATGCACAGTCCACCTCTGGCTTCCCATAACCCCCAGGGCATCTTCCTAGGCTAAGGTCATTGCCATCGCTGACTTACTTGTCTGTCTCTCCCAGCAGACTAAGAAATTTTCCAGAGAAGAAACTGGCACTTAGTACAAGCAATTTTGTATGATTCTGACAATCTACAAGCTGTATCTATAACAAAGATACAAGGCTTACCTCACATCAATTTGTTTAAAATATATTTAGCTTGAAGAATGTAAGTACAGTTTTTCTTAAATTAATATCACATGGAAAACATTGTAATGAGAAATGACATTTGAGAATTAAAAATCAAGAGCCATCTTATCCGGAAAATGACTTCTAAGGGAACTTTCACAGAATACACGTACAGAATTGAAGGCCTTTCATAATCTAACCACAGTGCTAGACACAGGGGATCAAAGATAACTGAGACATGACTCTTGCCCTCAAGGACTTAACAATAAACAAAATAGGAAACAAAACCACCAGTGTTAATCAATGCTCTTCTGGCATAAGCATGTGATCAGGAGCAATTTTTGCCTGAGCCGTAGAAATGTAAACAAACTTATGTTTCCCCCGGTTTCTTTTTTTATGATTGTGAATCCTGTTTGGTTAAATAGATGGTTTTGTAAGAATCTTTAATTGGCTTGATAATTCCTTCATTTAATAAATATTTCCTTCCTGTGTCCCACATCAGGCCCTTTGCCAAGCATAGAAGGTACAAAAAAACAAATGATACTTTTCCTTAGAGGCATTTCTAATGAAAAGAGATAGATACAATAAACACAGTCAACCTAAAAACAAAGTAAACAACTCTGTGTGGGGATCATGAAAGGCTTCTCAATGAGGATAACATTTAACTTGAGTTTTGAGGGAGGAGTTGGGAGTGCAAATGTTAACTATTAGAGGAATCTGTTTTTACTGTGCTGCTAACCAATATGAGCCTCTGGCTGCGCACACATAGTTAACAATCTGTGAAAGTGACAACTTCCCTAGAGTTGGGTGTTGTAGCACTCTCTCAACTGGAATCACTTAGGTTATTTTCCCAGGCATTGAATTTAAACAAAAGCTCTCCCAAAATAGATTCCTCAGAAGTGCTAAGTGCCAAACTATTTGTTTTCAATCTTTCACACATATTGACTAAAAGATTTTTAACAAACTTCTGTATAAGAATTTGTGTGGGGAACACTCAACAAACTATTTTTGTATACCATAAAAATCTTTGACTTAAGAATAAACTTTTTGTCCCCAGATCTTACTCACATGGGTTTTTTGGTACTTTCTAAACTTTAAAAATCAGGGACTCATGGAGGAGGGAAAAAGTCTCCCAATATTTTTAGAAAGTAGAAGACATTTCAGAGAACAGTCACTGAACACATTTTAACCTCCTAGCTGGGACAAGTAAGGAGGAAGACTCATGCAATATACCAATTTTGTTCATTATTTTTCTTTTTGAATTTGATTTTTCTAATCAGAAATAAATAGATGCACATTGTGGAAAATTGGGAAGATACAGAAAAAGTAACAATGATCGAAATTGCTGTCATTTACTGGAAACTTTCTCTGGCCCAGTATCGGGCTTCACATATACGTTACCTCATATAATCCTCACCACAATCCTGTAAGGTAAGTAGTATAATCATCTTCATTTTATAGTAAAGGGAAAGAAGCTTAGAGAGACCTAGAGGTACCAGCTCGGGGTAAACCAGAGGACAAACTTAAGACGTCTTGATTCCAGAGTCCTCACACTTAATCACCTCCTACAAGGCCACCACCACATCATCTAGTTGCATGTTTTTGCTCTTTTATTAATTAACTTATTTCCCTCTTCTATTAATTAACTTATTAATTTAAGTTAATTAATTCATTAATATTTCATTATGTATCGGTGCCAAGTAGAAGCTGGAAATACAGAGGTAAGTGCAGTCTCTGCCATCACAGAATCTTTATTCTTATAGAAATGATAGAATTTGTACAAGGAATTACAAATGTGATAAGTGTTATAAAGGACAAGTGTGGAGTGGTTTAATACAGGGACCAAATCTAGTTGGGTGGGTCACAGAGGGCTTCCCCAAGTCATCTCTCTGTGTACTTACTTACACATAGTTGAGTCACACATTTCTGAATTTTCAATGTTACTTTGTTCATCTAACACTAATCCAAAGCATTACCTGAGCAATTAAATCTTACTTGTTTTAACCGTTTACATAATATTTAGACAAGGGAGTGCATCCATTAACCATTTTCTATTGTTGGATATTTTAGTAGTCTATGTTTCTTTGTTATAAACAATAATATGATTGGTAACATTTTGCATAAAGCTTTTTCTATGTAAGATTTTCCGTGTCAGATAACTTCCTTGGGAAAAAGAATCCTCAAACTGGAAGACTGCAAATACCTAGAGTATTATAGGATCTCAAAAATACATTTGCTGGATAAGCAGATATGTAGATGAATGGAATAAAGGAAAATGCTCATCATTTCAGTTTGAAACAGATGTATGGGTGTTCTGAAGGGGAAAATGGGTCTCTAAACAGTTCTTGTTGTAACTCAAGTCCAAACTGTCATTGACAGCAAAAAAAATGAACAGCCATTAGTACTTTCATCAGTTACACCTCTATTTGTAATTTTGTACAGAATCACATTCCTTCACTAGCGTAACACAAGACCTTTCTCTTTGATCATCATTGCCCAGCATCAAAACTCTGAATGCCTCATAAACCATCAACAGGACATGCTAGCTGTGAATTTCACTCACACTCCTTGCTACCTCCACCAAGGGAGAAGTGCTTTGGAGAGTGGCTTATGTGACCATGGACATGTTTCTTAACTCCTTAGCTTCCAATTTCCCTAATTTCCATATCTAAAAAGTTAGGAATAATATCTTGAGCTTTGCGGCTAAGAGCATTAACAGATAAAAGAGGGCTGCTACACACATACTCCATACCAACTGTGCCTCAGTTTCCTCATATGTTATATATAACGTCTAACAGTGGTGACATAGCTTTCAGATCATCTTTCAAGAAAGAAGAAAATTGTAGGGGAAAGTGAATAAGGGTATGATAACTAAAGATACAGGGTTTCTTCTTGAGGTGATAAAAATGTTCCAAAATTGTCCACAGTGATGGTTACATGTTATCTGTGAATAAACTAAAAATAACTGAATTGTACACTTAAATGGGTTAACTGTATGGTACATAAAATATACCTCAATAAAGCTATTAAAAAAGAAAGAGCAAATAAGTTATTAAGCAGCAATAACATCATAGCTATACAGATTCTAGCCTATGCAACATTGTATTTTAACTATTTTGATAAATATTTATTAAGCACCTGATATGTGCCAGGAATGATTCTGATGGCAGAGATATAGCAACATATACTTCAAACAAAACCTTACACTACTGGAGTTAACAATAAGCCACAAAAATAGACATTAAAAAAATCAGGCATGATAGTGCTAGTAAAAAAATAAGAGAAAAGGCTAAAAGGCGATTTTTATTTTAAATAAGATGACCAAGGAAGACAATTTTGTGGAGTTAGCCTGTGAACAGAAAACTGAACATGCAATTACAGTAGAAGAAATTGCAAATACAATGGACTTGAGATAAAAATCAATGTGGCATATTCAAGAAATAGGAAAAAGGCAGGTGTGCCTGGAGAATATTGAGTCAATTATCTTCAAGTCAGTGCTTCTGCCAGCCCAGATACCTGCTTGTACCTTACAAAATGACACAATTTCACCTGGAATAATTTGGAATTATAAAAACACTTTAGGGAATTTGGGATATTACCAAAATTCTCCATCTTAGAGGCATCCCAGAACAGCACAAAACTCCTAATAATCTATGGTCTTCCTACTTCTGTTGGAATAAAAAAGCCCCTAAAAATTCTTCATCAAAGCATCATTATTATCCAAAATACATTTATGAATATATATGAAGTTTTCTGGAGTATATACACTCATAAATGATTCTCTGTCTATAGTTAATGAAATATGTGAAAATTTAAGAACCATTTCACTTTTGGATCCATCAAAATCTTATTCCTCTATTCATTACCTGTATCCTACAATACCTTTTCTTCCTTCTGATAGTCTACCAATTTTTCCGTATTATCTGTTTTATCTAAATCTTCTTCCCTTTTCCCCCAATTTTCCTGATCTGAAACCATCTTCCCCTCTCTGATTTCATCCAAAAGGTCACAGTTTCCTTTAACCATAAGCCCACCAAAACAGGAATACATACCTGGCAGGTAGATTTTATGATCTGGCCTTGGACTGACTTATAGATAATCATCACAAATTTCCCCAAACTCTGAAAGAAAAGGCAAATTTACAAGACTTCAATAGTATTGCAACTCAGTATTCCAGTATCTTTGACCTAAAATCACTAATATATTTGTTTTAGTAGGTCCATTTGATTTTTGGTGCTGGAGTCTGGCAAAAAAAAAAAAAAAAAAAAAACATCTTATTGGAAATACTTGAAAAAGATGAAGTTATTTCTAAGGTCCACCAAACAGAACAGGAATTTTAAAAAAGCACAAAATGTGGGGCAACACTTACTGAGAACTATGCTTGTGATGTTTTAAATATATTATATATAAAGAATGACTAGATATAAACCCAGTCTTACAAGCAAAGAAAGAGCAAATTCATCAGAATCACCTTTTCCATAACTCCAGTTAATATCCAGGGGGAGATCCACAGGCAGATGTTTCTACTGCGTTATTCTCATTTTTTATGATTGGCCTTGAATGCAGGACTTGGTATGTAAAAAATACCAGAATGGGAAATAGTTCTCCTAACAGACCTTTAGCATTTGCCCAAACATATTGAGAAAGTCTTAGAACAAAAAGAGTTGATGGCTTTACAAAACAAAACCGAATGGCACCTTGTCATCTTGGATTCCCTCAAACAAAAATGCCCATGCTAGATCATTGGGATTATCCATGATTTGGGATGCTCGGAAAAGTATAATGTAACTCTTCTTAAATACAAGATGGGTCCCCATCAAAAATGATTAAGTAGTTAAGAAACTTCTAAATGCCCTAATGCTGACAAAGACAGTAGACACTGTAAAGGAAAAATTCTCTTAAAAATAGATTATCTAGAAACTAACAGGCTCTAGCTCATCATTATGTCAAGTAGACAGTCCTTATAAAGGTACTTGTCCCTACAATGCACCTCATACCCAGATTTTAGGAGGGTTCAAATCAGCCACTATAGAAAGCCAAAATCCAGCCCCAACATCAAAGAACAAATTCTGGAAACTATATAAATGTAAGTTATATGGTGATGAGCTCTGGCATTCCCAGGATAGTTGACTGGTAGCACCAGATGACCTCAAATGGAACCTTGTTAGGATCCTTCATGAAATCCACACCACAGCAAGGACAACGTGGCCACCATTACACACCAACACAGTTGGGGGAATTTTAGAAAAATGAGAGGATATCTCTGCATCATGTCTTTAACTCTGTTATGTCGTTAACTCTTTAATCCTGTTATATCTTTAACATAACAGGATGATGTCAAAACATAATCCTGGCAAAAACACAAAAATGGAGCATGAAAGCCCCAAAACTCAGGGTCTATTTGATTCTCAAGAAGGAATTTCACTTTTTAAATTCAGGTTGTTGCGTGCTTGTTTTCCAGATCATTAAAGCTGTCAGGAAGCAACATCTTAACAGCATCAGAAAGCTATCTGGTGTTTCTTACTTGGTAAATCTCCACTACCTTCCCAGTAATAATCATACACTGGGACAGTCATTAAAGAGTTCTGTGAGGCATTGCATGCACTTTGAGACATCTCTACTTTTCAGGCAAAATAAAAAAGACAAATGAAATTATCAAATTAACACTAGTCAACTTTTCAAAAACATTTGGGTTACCCAAGGTCCTGACCTTAACCTAAATATAGTAATATCAACTCCTTTGAAGTTCATCTTTTCTTGTAGTCTAGTAACAAGCCAGCTACACACCTAGAAATGTAACTTGTAATCTTAGCCTCTGTCCTGACCCAAGAAATATGGCCAAAATACTGCCAGGCACTCATATAGTACACTCAGTTTTATGAGCAGATATGGTCAGTCCGCCTCAAAGTCCAGCCAGCGATCCTTGCATGGCCTAAATCCTGAAGAATTGTTCTCCTGAAAGATATCAGAGACAGACAGACACCCTCTGAACCCCAATGGAAAGAACATGATCAGTTTCTGTTAACAAATAGCAAAGCAGTAAAACTCCAAGAATTGAATCCTTTGATCCATGTCTCACAATTAAAAAGTCACCATTTATCCTCAAACACAAGTAGCCCATCTCAACTGAGACCTCAAGTGGGGAATTCTTGGAAATTTTCCAAAACTATATGACCTTTGGTGGAAGCTATCCACATTATGCTATTAATTAGCTTGATCTAAGCATCTTGGGTTAGTACTCTCCTTTTCCTTTCCTGCTCTGATATTACTCAGCTGGTTATAGACTCACCTGCTATGGAATTAATCCAAAATGATAGGTACTTAGGACATGTGGATCACAGTAGATGGGAGAAAAAGGTGTGTATTTATTAACCTTGATGCTCTAAGGAAGTTATCTGGTTATCAAAATAACAGAAGAAAAGTAAATGAGAGACATACATTTCCCTGTTTAGAAGTAAAAATCACTAACTTTATAAAGTGGTCCTCCAGTTACTTGATAGAATGAATAAATGAGAACAACCCAACATTTTTTATATAAATTAGTAATGAATGATCAACAAATAGGTTATTTTTTAAAGTCTAAAAATAACCCATATTATTTAATGAATAAGGAGATATCACAAATGAATGAAGAAATCAAAGATTATTCAATAAATACTACCAGGACAATTTAAACCCTAATGAAGTTAGACCTTTATCTACTAACATATACCAAAATAAGTTCTGTGTATTAAAAAGCCAAATGTAAAATAAGAAATCATTTAAGACTTTAAAACATACTTTAAAATGTACCTGATTCAGAACTTTGATTTAGGTCAGTAACAGGAGAGAAGGAAAGAAAATCAGGTACTTGAGCACCTACTACGTTGGAATTAATGAGCATTGGGCCCATTACCTACATTTTCCTCATTAAGTCCTCACAAACTCCTAGAAAATGGATGCTAATATCTCCATTTTACAAATAAGGAAGCTGAGGAAGACTGAATAATCTGCTAACAGTTATTCCTCTGATGGAAAGACGATTTTCTTATTTAATCTTTACAACAAAAATTACATCAATTTTCCAGATGAAGAAAGAAAGGCAAAATCACAAAGCTAGGATATGGTAGACTCAAAATTTCAGACTCAGTTTGGCTAATTCTAAATGGGAGCTTTTAGCATTTATACTATTTTGTCACCACTTCATTCAATGGTGCACTCATAGTGAAGTGTCCATTCCTGACCTAATTATTACTAAGGTTTGAACTAATATCCATCTGGTCCTAAAGTCTACCTACTTCAGACTCTTTTCATACTGCTTTCTAAATTTTATTGGGGTTGGTAGATGCATAGATGTACTCAAGAGTAAAAATATTCAGTAGATTTGATGTCCATTGGACATTGAGATTGAAATGGCCTTTGTTCTAGGTTGAAGTTATATTTATTCAGGATTACATTGAAATTACATGGGAATGACAAAATGACTTATTCTAAACTACTCTTCACCCTCCAGCTGGTAATTTATTATTGCTAACTTACTGATATTTTATGAATATATACTGAATAATGCTGTCAACAATTTTCTTTAAATAAAAGGATGATGGATATTGAGCAAAGCCACACAATCAATTTTTATCTCCTGCCTCAAAACACAGTGTCACCATGTGACAGGTTGATTTGCACTGACATTAAATGTCAGTTTTGTGAAGTTCCACAGTGATGCATGTGGGATTGGCACCAGGACTGGCGCACGCTTATACGTCAGTGGGCAGCAATAGAACAGGTACACCTGGCAATGTAAAAAAACAAACAAACCAGTAAAGCATGATGGTTAAGACCATAGCCTCTGGAGCCAGACTGCTTGAGTTAAAATCTCAAGTCTATAATTTTACTGGCTGTGTGAGCCTGGGCAGGTTATATCACCTCTCAACTCTGAGATGGGGATAATAGTATCATCAGCAGAGTTTTATTTTATGAAGTTTAAAGAGCTAAAATTTCTAAAGCACTTAGAAGAGGGCCTGGCATGTAGAAAACACAATATAAGTTTATCTAATACAGATACCAGCTGCCATCAAAAGACTTTGGGAAGGTGTAGTTTATACTGTTGCACATACACACGTGTTTAGAAAGTTTCTCGCAATTGGTGTGAACTTGGATATGAAGAAACTCGAAGGGGGTATCCTTTCACAATATATATGTATATCAAATCACTGCACTGTACACTTTAAATATATTGTAATTTTATTTGTGCATTTTAACTCTATAAAGCTAGTGGGTGGAGAAGCATGGGAACAGGGCAGGTATTCAAAGAGAAGCAGCAACTAGAACACAGGGAGCTCCTCAGGTGTGTTTGCACAGTTGGGTTCTGTGAGTTTTCCCTGAATCCTTCCGGTTATTCTTTTTCTTGATCTACTTTGAGTAAGTTTTGGTACCTTGCATCATGAAGATCCCTAAGTCAGTCACCTGGCTAACAGGTAAACAGAAAGAGAACAGAGAGAGCTGTGGAGGAAGCCCTTGCCCCAGCCAGCAACAATGTGCTCATCCATGTCTCTGTTGGCCCAAAACAGTTCCTTCAACCTCTCTGGTGGATTATCTCCCATTTCCCCAGCCCTGATGACCAAACAGTAACCCAAGTTAACTAGCAGACCCAAAGCTCATAGCCCTTGTTAATATGTAAAATCTTGAAGAGAACATGAGTTAGATAGAAGCTTGAGCTGAATGAAGTGTGGACTGAAGATTTTATTAATAACTAAGGTTAGAAGAAGGTGAGAAGTTATGTTTGCATTTAATTCAGTTTACTAGAATGTGGATGGTGGATTGGAAAACATATTAGATGTAATCTTTATCCCTCCAAAAAGGAGAGTAAAAGCCACAGCAAGCCAAGCTCCCAGGGCACAAAAAGTAATGAATTTCAAAAGTCCATGGATTTTTCTCTTTCTGTTCAAAGACATATCTTTGGGGGATTTTTTTACTTCTTGGTTTCTTCTCTCAGCATCAAGATTTTCTAAATACTATATTAAAGGATTTTTTTTCAGTCACATTTCTTTAAATCCAGGTTCTTTCTGCCATAGTATTTTCTGTGGCCTTCCTTGTTTTAAAAAAAAAAAGAAGGGAGGAATTTTAAAGGAGTTACCACATCCTT